CCAAGAAATTTGGAAGACAGATACCTGGCCAAGGGATTGGAAAAGATCCATATTTGCACTCATTCCAAAGAGAGATGATCTAATGTAATGCAAATACCATCAGACAATTTCACATGCAAGTACTATTTTGTTGAAAATCATTTAAAAATGGCTGCAACAGTACATGGACAGGAAACTGCCAGAAATTCAAACCAGATTCAGAAGAGGAGATGGAACTAAGGGTATCATTGTTAATGTCAAGGATGAAAATACAAAATACCAGAAAGAATGCTGGGCTTTATTGACTATGAAAACACTTTAGGCTCTGTAGATTGTGACAAGCTATGGATAACATTGCAAATAATTGGTCTTTCAGAACCCTTATTTCTTCCTCGTGAGGAACCTGTACATAGAACAAGAGACACTCATTGACAGACAATGGTCTAATAAATGGCTTTAAATCAAGAAAGGTGTATGCCAGGGTTGTATTCTTTCACCATAATTTTTCAATCTTTTTGCTGAGCAGATGTTCCAAAAAGCTAGATTATATGAAGAAGAACTTGGCATCAGGATTGTAGGAAAACTCATTAACAACCTTTGATACACAGATAATGCAACCTTGCTTTCTGAAATCAAAGATGACTTAAAATATTTACTGATGAAGATTAAAAACCCACAGCCTTCAGTATAGGCTTCACCTCAATGTAAGGGGAGAAAAAAATCCTCTCCACTGGACCAATATATGACCTTGTGATGAGTGGAGAAATGACTGAAGTTGTCAAAGACTTCATTTTGTCTGGATCTTCAGTTAACAATCATACAAACAGCAGCTAAGAAACCAAGTGGCGTATTGCATTTGGCAAATCTGCTGCTCAAGTCCTCTTTAAAGTGTTCAAGAGGCAAGATGTCAGTTTGAGGACTAAAGTGTGCCTGACCCAAGCCATAATACTCAAGTATTTTCCATAGCCTCACATACATGTGCAAGTTGGACAGCGAATAAGGAAGACTGTAGAAGTGATGTATGTGAGTTATGGTGTGGGAGGAGATTATTAAAAGTACTACAGACTGCCCAAAGAACAAACCAACCTGTGTTGTAAGAAGTTCAGCAAGAATGCTCCCTAGAAGCCAGGATAGTGAGATTTTATGTCTCATACTTCAGACCTGTTATCAGGAGGACCCAGTCTCTGAAAAAGGACCTCCTGCTAGGTAAAGTGGAGGATCAGACAAAAAGAGGAAGACCCTCAATGAGATGGATTGGCACAGTGGCAGCAGCAGTGGACTCAAACATAATAGTTGTGAGGATGGCACAGAAACAGGCAATGTTTTGCCTGTTGTGAATAGGGTCACTATGAGTTTGAACAGACTCAATGGTACAGCAACAGCAACAACTGGAAAAGTCAAGGGTGCATTGCATTGTACAGACCCCCAGCAAGGGGCTCTGTTCTTATTCATGGGACTATCAGACCCTGGTTCAGAAGACATGTTCTATGACCAGAACCTGAAGTTCTCACAAATTCCCCGTAGGGAAGGACAAGTGCACCATAAATTAATCCATGCCCTCGTCTGTTGAAGGTCAGAAAGCCAACGGTTCAATCAGTATCAGTGTGAAAAATAAAAACAAATTCAGACTTCAATGTTGTTGGTGTTGTTAAGTGCCATTGAGTCAGTTCTGACTCACAGTGACCCTGTATAGGGCTTCTGAGGAGTAGATGGTGATCCTGAACGACTGATTTTGTGGTTCAAATCAGCCTTATGGTCCGGTGCTTAAAGCAACCCAAACTCCATTGCTGTGGAGTCTGTTCTGACTCATAGTGACACGAGATGACAGAGTAGAATCGTCCCAGAGGCACTGCAAGGCTGACCATCTTTATGAAAGTACACTGCTACGTCTCCCTCCGCCCGTGGATTCAAATGGTTGACCTTTTGGTCAGCAACCAAGTACACTGGCCACAGCACCGCCAGGGCTCCTTTTGGAACTTGATCCAAATTAACCCCAAACCACTGCCATTAAGTCAATTCCAACTCATAGACGCCCAACAAGTCAGAATAGAATTACCCCATAGGATTTCCTAAGGAGCACTGGTAGCATAGTGGTTACGAATCAGGCTGCTAATCTCATGGTCAGCAGTTCAAAACTACCAGCTGTCCCTTGGGAGAAAGATGCGGCTTTCTGCTCCCGTAAAGATTTACGGCCTCGGAAACCCTGTACAGGGTCGCAATGAGTCGGAACCAACTCCACAGCCCATAACAACAACAACCTCCATAGGATTTCCTAGACTAAATATTTTGGCATCTTTCTCCTAAGGAGTGGATGCTGAAATTGAACTTCTGACCTTGATGTTAGCTGCCCAATTCTTAACCCACTGCACCACAAAGTTTCTTTCAAGTTAC